TAAAGGGCCTCTGGATTAGGGGGTATTAGGCACATCTGGAAACAGAATACCAGCCTGATAAAAAAATGGAGATTAAATGAATATATTCATACTGACTGCCTGATTTCCCCTTTGAGTCCTTCAGAATGCTGAGAGCCAGGTGTATACCTTCCGGGCAGGAGATGATGTTGGCTCTGAGGAATATGACCAGACCTCCCCTGCTTGCCTGATTGCCCACAACTGCCCTCCCTTGCAGGCCTAGTCCCTCCCAACTGCCCTCCCCTGGTGACCATCTTGTGGTGGCCATCTTGTGTCCATATAGGGGCAGGATCTTTGATCAGATAGGGGCAGCCATATTATGTGTTGGAGTGATGGTCAATCTGCATATTACTCTTTTATTAGATAGGATAGAGGCCTGGTACATGGGTGGAGGCCAGCTGGTTTGCCCTGAAGGGTGGCCCGGATCAGGGTTACCTTGGGGCATGGGGCGGCCTGGACAAGGGGCCTGTGGTGGTTTGCAGGCCAGCCATGCGCCTTGGAGACCCAAGCAGAGGCCCTGGTATCTGGAATTTATCTTCTATAATTGAAACTTTGTAGCCTGGAGTGGAGCCAAGCCTCCTGCTTGCTCTGTGGCCAGCAGCCATTTCTATTGGGACTTATGTACCTTCTATAATTGAAACTTTGTAGCCTTAAGTAGAGACCTGGGCCAGCCAGGGTGTGCGGAAAGCTTTGCTTTCTCTATTGCTGGGGGCAACCCTAGCTTGCTCTCTCCAGCTCCGTGGCTGCCGCCATTTCTGTTTGGATTTGTTTACCTTCTATAATTGAAACTTTGCAGCCTTGAGTGGAGGGCTAGACTGCAAGAGCAGGCAGAAAGCTTGGCTTCTTTTGTTGCCTGGGAAACCCAAGCCTCCCTACTGCTCTCTGTGCCATAGCCATCCTGATTGGGTTTATTTGCATGCTCGCTCTGATTGGGTGGTGGGCATGGGTATAGGGGAGTGGTGGTTAATTTGCATATTACTCTTTTATTAGGTAGGATAGTGAAACTAAGTAGAGAATTACCAAGTATGTTAGTTGTGAGAAATAGGATTGAAAAGTTGATTATCAGCTAAAGTACTTATCCTTTTGGTACACAGCTCTGATTTTTCTTCACATTAATATTTTGAAAAATGTGGACTTAATTCAAATTTTTTAAACTCCCAAAAGAGATAATACCAATATTAAGGTCTAAAGTTCAAAATAGTACTTCACCTTATTCTCTTTCATGAATAATCCCATAGATAGTAATTACTTTGTTCTTGTGTGATATAGGCAGAGAAATGTGGGATTAATTTTAATAGTGATAACAGCAAAATAAATGTCAGTATTCCAGATATAGAAATAGAGTTTAGCCAAGCTGGGTGTGGCTCAGCAGTTGAGCATCGACTCAGGAATCATGAGGTCATTGCTTCAATTTCCTGGTTAGGGCACATGCCAGGTTTTGGGCTCCATCACCAGTAGAGAGCATGCAAGAAGTAGCTGGTTGACGATTCTTTCTCATCATTGACATTTCTCTCTCTCCTTCTCCTTTCCTCTCTGAAATCAACAAAAACATATTTTGTGTTTTTTTTTTTAGCCTTAAGTCAGTTTGGTTCAGTGGGTAGAGTATCAACCTGCAGACCAAAGGGTCCTAGGTTCAATTCCAGGGCACATACCTCAATTGCAGGCTCCTCACTGGCCTGGGCACTGGTTGGGACTTGTGCAGGAGGCAGCCAATTGATGTTTTTCTCTCACATCAATATTTTTCTCTGTCTTTCCCCCTCTCTTCCATTCTCTCTAAAAATCAATGAAAAAATATCCTCACGTAAGGATTATACAACAACAACTAAAAAACCACATTTTTTAAAAAGAAATAGTTTACTTTAAAAATTCAATAGAAAATAATATAAAAATGATATTGTTTAAAGATACTAATAATTCATTATATTCAAAAGGTTATTTACAATTTTTCAAATTGTTTTTGCTCAGTATCATTGTGCTTAGCTTAGTAATTATGAAGTTGATAGGACCAACGTTATTGACATAATCTAACAGTTAAAAAGCAAGTCTCGCAGAGGATGTTGTGATAGAGCTAAGCCTGAATCCAGCCCTTCAGTCACCTACACTAGTGTTTTTGCACTTCACATATAGGCAGCAGTTCAGTGGTTTAACAAACTGTAGCTCCATCTGAAATAACTTTGTGGATGCTCTGAGGCCCAGATTGATTCCCAAAGTGCAATTAAATTTAAAACTGGACAACTGGTATTAAGGTTTCCATTTGTACCTGATTCATTTGAGACCAGGTTCTCATTGATACAGATAACTATCTAGTCTGTAAAGTGAGGATAGCCTCTCCCTTTGATTGTGTGTATGTCCATAACCTAGATTAACAAATGATTAAGATTTTGTCATATTTTGCTTTAATTATGTATGAGGGGTTGAGGGAGGCAGGGGGAGTGTTCACTAAACAATTTAAATGTAGTCATTATATTTATCTCAGAACACTTCAACCTACATCTCCTAAGAACAGAAACATTCTCTTGTGTAACCAGTAACACCATTTTATACCCAAGAAAATTAATAATAATTCTGTAATATCTAATGTATAGTACATGTCACATTTCCCCCCATTGTCCCCAAAATTAATTTTACTGTGTTTCAGATTTCATCAGAGTTTGTACATTACATTTGGTTGTTAGACCGACGCTGTATCCACTGAGCCAAACCAGTTTCAGCAGTCTCTGAATTCTTAATCTCTCTTAATCTGTAACAGTCATCCATTTTAAGAAAAATATATACATATTTTTTAAAGACGTCTTTTTTTTTTTTTAAGAGTCCAGTCTTTTTGTCCTATAAAATGGTCCCACATTTTGGATTTGTCAATTTGTTTCATCATACTTAGATTCAGATAAAACTTTTTTTGCAAGAATACTACATAGATAATGTTTTATAGTATTGATTATATAACTAGAGGCCCCGTGCATGGATTTGTACACTAGTAGGGTCCCTCAGCTTGGCCTGCGGGATCAAAACTGGCTCTCTGACATCCCCTGAGGGATCCCGGATTGTGAGAGGGTGCAGACCAGGCCAAGGGACCCCACCAATGCACAAATCTGTGCACTGGGCCTCTAGTATGCATATAAGATCCTTGGTTAATCTCTTCCTGCCCTTCCCTCTCCTTCCTTTCCTTTGAGATGCATAAGTCTGTCCCATGTTTCCATGTTTGTGGTTTCTGCTCCTGCATTGAGTGTCTACCTCCTGGTGATCAGTGCAAGTCATAGCTACTGGTTGGATGGTTGAATGGTCAGGCAGTCACTTAGGCTTTTATATATATATAATATGTCAGGAGATAAGTAATATTGGCTGGTTCCATTAAGCAGAGATGCTATTTTGGATCCCTAGCAGAAATGTGGGTCTCCCTTGGGTAAGTCCAAATTTAATGTTATAGGTTTCTTTAACTGCACAACATTGTTTTATTTTTTTTTAAAGCATGTATTATTAGTGACAATAAATATTGTTGATTTAATCATAATGTTGGGCATAGACTACTAATAAGTAGTATTCACCTTGTCTGCTCTTTTTCCTTTGAATAAATACCCTAAAGACTCCCACTTCCCACCTTCCTCTTTATGACTATGTAGGAAATGTTTACGAATTAATTGCTGGTAAGGACCCCAGAGGTAGAGGGAGATAAGAATAAACATTTATAAAGGGAGAATAACAGTAATATGAAAATTTATTGAACCATTGCTATGTACTATGGCACTGGGCTAAGCACTTTCTGTGGATTGTCTACACAGTAACCCAATTAGGTAAGCAGCATTGTTTCCCCATTTTACAGATTAGGAAGCTCAGGCACAGAAAGATTGAGGATCTTGCCCAAGGACCCACAGCAAGTAAGTGGTGGAGCTAGGGTTCAAACCCAGAGTGGCTAAGTCTAGAGCCCATTTCTTTTTACTTTGTTATGCTGCCTCCATTATTGTGCACCAGGTATTATATCAGACACTGTCTTATACATTTTCTTATATAATTCTCATATCAAACTGTAAGAAACAGTCTCAAGTAAATGAAGTTATTTATCCAAGGGCATATGATATCCGAACCATTTATTCTATTTTGGTTCTCTCCCATATTTCAGCCAAGATCTTTAACAACAGAGTGGTTTGTGCACCGGGGTCCCTTTTTCCACTCCCCAGCACCCACATAAACAGGAATCATGTGCTGGAAATGAAACCAGGTGACAGAAGCAACTGCACAAGCAAGAGAAGCCTGATCGGGTCCACATTAACCAGATGACAGGAGTGAGAGCCTTCAGTTACAATTCGGGGACCATCAGTGAGAGCTGGGATTACACTGAACCTGAAATAAAGGTTGTTGAAATAAGGCTGGTCTTCCAGGGGAAAGTTTCCTTACCGTCTGCCCTCTGACCAGAGAGGACGTGGCAGTCTTGTTATTTGAGTAACTTCAAACTGATGGTCAAAGCCATGAAGAAATTTCTGAAGGAAAGTGTGATTGCTTATTAAGTTTCTGATGCCCACTATTGTCCTCCCTTGTAGAATTTTTTTAACATCACTGAATCTATATATAATTATAGCATAATAAGTTAAGAGGAGTAGAATTAAAGAGAGTAATACAGATTTTTAAGTAAAGGATTTAGGATTTTTGTGGAGATTAAATTTACACATACATAAGACACACACACACACACACACACACACACACACACACACACAATCTAGTAGAGTCCGTGACACAGAGTAGGCATTCAGTATGGAAGTTATCATCATTGTATGTATATATCATTGAGTTTTGTGTTCTCACATGATAAGATCTAGAACCTTTCCTAACTTAGAACAGTTGGCCCTCAACCCAGGAAAACGAACATTCCAGACACTGCCTGACTAGTACCTAAGCAAGAGTCCAGATCTCCCTTAGTGACCCTCTCTGGCACTGGCAGGAGGCTCCTATTGTCATGGTGTCTGTCACACTCTGTCTTTCTGTTTCAGGTGGTTAGCTCAACCAATGGAGAGCTGAATGTCGATGACCCCACAGGAGCCCACTCCAATGCACCAATCACAGCTCACGCTGAGGTGGAAGTAGTGGAGGAAGCTAAGTATGTTCATCTTTCAAGGGGGCTCTTGAATCATAGATTGAGAAATCTTTTACCTGTCTCTTCCTCTCTGTGTGCTGCTCATCTCAGACTGAATTCCTCATGCTTGTGTCCTTAGCTTTCTTCTTTTGATCATTTTATTTTTGCATGGTATTATAAGGCTGCTGCTGCCCCTCTTTAGTTGTGATTTCTGGAAGACAGTCATATTTCTCTAGTCCACATGAGGCAAAAGACATAGTGAACTAAAAGAATCATGATAGAACACCTATAATAGATAGTAGTCATGAGCCTTTTGGTGCCCTGGATCTTCTTACTCCCTATAGGACACAGAAAAATCTGTTTATCTTAACCATGAGCTATGCTGAACAGCATGAAACTTCGGGTTCTTGGCTAACCATTCTGCATATATAATCCTGGAGCAAGGGTTTCAGGGACATTTTGTTCTCACTTAAATGATTCTGGATTCAGAGAGACTCAGATAAATCAGGCAAGGAAAATAGTCTCTGTACCTATGAGTGAAGGATCTTGAGAAGGAAAGGAAATCACACTAATGCCAAAAGGAGATTTCCCCACCTCTTTTTCTGATGCTCTTGCATGTATATGTCTTGCCCTGTCCATACCACCAGCCCTCGGTGCTCTGCATGGTCTGTGTTTAAACTTTTAGAATATGGGGTGGAAAGTGAAGTAACTGCTGATTCTACAACAAAAGTAGCATTTCTATCACTTCTTTCCCTTTTTGCCCCATCTCAAATTCAAATGCAGGTTTAACCTTCAGGAAGACATGAGGTAGGAAGAGAGAAGTCCTTTACAAATCAGTTACTGCTGCCAGGCCTGATGTGGATCATTTTTCTTGTAAACCCTTTGAGAACATTCAGGCTACCCCAGTGTCCTGCTCATTTAGAGTGATTTTGCATCCTAAGTGGTCTCTAGAGCCTCCAAAACCTGCATTCTTCTTCCTTCCAGATGCACTTTGGTCCCTTTTGCCCAATCTTCTATTGCCCCATCTACATGCTTAGCTCACTTTGCTTCCAGGAGAACCTTTTCTTAGAAAACCAGGTCTTGAGGATTCCTACCCAGTAGATAAAAAGCAAGTGAGGATGACTTAAAATGTCTCCTGTCCAGTCCCTACTGACTGTGGGCAGCTCCCGGTGCTCCTCTCCTACTTTATGTAAGGCCCTGCTACATACATAGGAGGGCAGGGGAGTTTCTGATGCCAGGAAGAAACTATTGTAGTAAGGAAACATGCTCCCCACTTTCAGGGACTTTGGAGATGTTAATGATATTCACAGTTTTTCAGTTTCCATGACAGAACTCTTCTCCTAAGTAAACAGTGTGTTACTCCTTCTCTATGGGCTTTCAGCTTTGGATGCACTTTGGAGTCACCTGGAACTTGGTAGAAAATACAAATGTCTGAATCCTGGCCCTAGAGATTATGATTTAATTTATCTGGAATATGGCCCGAGTATTAGGAATTTGTAAAGTCGAGGTGATTTAAATGTTTAGTCAGGTTTAGGAATCACTGCACTAGGTGTGGTCTGGGCTTGAAAGATGGCTGTACCTATTCCCACCCCCACCTCACTGCCATGGCTATTATTTTGAAGCCTAGAAATTTAGCTCTGCTTTTAATAAACATACTTTGAATATCAAGGTAGAATGGGCTTTAATATTACAACATGCCCTATGCAGATTTATCTTTTGAACCTATTCATTTCATTCCAGTAAATGTATACACTAATTGTGTATGTGAGTGTGGTGTATGTGTCCTGTATGTAAGACAGGGGGTCATTCACAAAGAGATCCCAATTTGGTGTATTCTGTTCTAGGATGTGAAGAGAGCTTAATGTCTCCCCATTTAGCAAAAAGGAACCATTGTGCCTCTTTGCTACCAGTTTCAGCTTTGGGCCTTAAAGGTGGGGAAACCAGAGGGGAGCAATTGTATTTAACCAAATGTCATCCAAAAGCTTATAGTTTAAGGCATTTTTGTGTGCTGATTCCCCTAGCGATTTCATGAGCTATCAATCCATCTTGCCCAGTGAACTTTCAGGGCACAGCCATATGTTTTTCTTCTTGGTTTTCTTGGTCATTTGTATGTGTGTGTATGTGGAGGGTGGATGGGGGGGAGATAAGACCAACAAGCCATGTGTCCACCTGCTTGATCATTTTATGGGAATAGGTCACAGCTAGAGAAGCACAAGGCGTCCCAAACAGGCAGCTGTGATGCCATTTGTCCCTGCAGCCTAGTTGTGAAAAAAAGAGGATGTTGCCTATATTGTGATTCAACTAGGGTCTTGGGGAGACTATGTGAAACCTTCACTTCCAAGCTTTTAGTTTGGGGTTCCTTGTCCAGCTTGTTTTGTATAAAGGAGGAGAGAACTTAGATGGTCTTAGTTTTTGATCCATGTACAAATGAGCATCTAACATCCCTTTTTGCTTGCTGCAGGAATATGTTGTTTGAGTATGATTAGAAGAGTAGTGAGGCAAGGCAGTTTTCTGGTTGACTTTTGTAACAGTAAGAATGCTGGAATTTTTGATTATCCACTGACTTCTGCTGTAAATTAGCAAATACAGGCCTCATTTCTCCTGAAAATTAATAAGAATGAGATGTAAGCCCTTCTCTGCAGTTATACCTTAATCCAGAACAGTGATCCTCCTCACTCAATCCTCTCCTAATAAAATAAAGTATCTCTTAAGCCTGTTTTCCCATTAAGAAGAAGAGCTAACTGCTGACTGTTTTGGTCAGGCATGTTAGATTTGTAAAAGCCTCAGAATAGTTGGGAAGTTAGCTTAACAAATTGCACACTAAGACTTCATGTGGGAATAATTTGGCTTGGCTTTGGTGCTCAATTGAATTCTTATAAGCAGGATCATTTGCTCGTTACCTTCCTGGAACATGCTCAGGAAAGCCCATTCTGGGGCACTCATCAACTCTGTTTTGTTTTACCCCTCACTGAGATCCAGCTCCCATCATGATGCTTCTATCAGGCACCTGCCCCCTCCACTCTAGTGTGGGGACCAAGTGGCCTGGGCCTACCTTGACAGAGGAGGCAACTGAACACAGACACAACATTCTGCATGTTTGCATGGCTCACAGGGAGTCGCTTCCATCTCACGTCTGTGGACTAATATCTCTTTCTCTCTCTTCCTTTCTGTGTTTTTCTCTTTACACACTCTGTAGCTGCCTGAAAATGCTCAACCTGTGGTGAGTCCCTCTCTCCAGTCCACATGCTAGGGGAGCGGACCAGTCTGGGCTGGATGGGCAAAGCCAAACAGAATGCCTTAAGAACACTGAATGGCTTCCATATGCCACCTTTGCCATTACCACCCAGACTGGGAACTGGATCCACAAGGTGGGGATGGGGCAAACCTGTGTCTAGGAATTAATCTATTCCTTCTTTCCTTTCAAACCCACCTAATTGCTGCCTCCTCCTGTCAAAACAATATCTATCCCACAGTATTCAAAATTACTCTCTACTTTTAATTGAATGAACTTTTTTCTCAAATTAATACACCCAGATGTTATCATTCAGAGACAGAGGTGGAGGACAAAGTTACTATGTCAGTTGTTTAATATTATTCTTCACAACTCCAAGGACAATTGTTGCTGGATAATCTCACATTCTGCAGCATGGTCTCTACCTGGAAATCAACTACTTTGGAAAAATCTGTGACTTCTCTTTTTTGTTCAGCTGGTTCTTCCATTGTAGAATATTAGTTTCTCAAAAAAAGAGAGCTCCAGGGGAAAGAGATGGATATTTTGTCATTGTTATTTTATTTTTGTTTGTTTATTGTCCTTTTTTCCTTTTTTGTTGTCCTCTTCCTATAAGAGAGTATAGTGGGCCAGGGGCTGACGTGGCCAATTAGATATTGGAGCCTCTTTTCCAGGTTCCTCAAATGCATTCTTAGGAACAACATGAGGTGTATAGGAAGAGAAACCCTAAAGAATCCATCCACATTTGGTGAGGCGCATTCTTGCTATAAGACAGAGCCCCCTCCCCAGCTTTCTTCCTGGACACTGCCTGTGACCTTCCAGGTCCTCCTGAACTAGGTGGTTTCTTGCAGCCTGTAACTGTACTCTCCCACATTGTCTGCATGCCTGGGATCATACTCTGTGTGGTGGTAATGGCCTGCTGGCCTCTATGACTGCCTTGTTTCTATTTGTCTTCTGTGACTGAGTTAAGCGTTGTTTTCTGAACCCTAAGCCAACTGGCCGACAGGGCTTCCCAGGGTCAGGGATGTATATTAAAGGTAACAACTGGGTTTTATGAAGATAGAATTTACAGTCTTGGAGGAGTACATTGGACCTGGTTATTTAGCAAACGTAAGTTTGTGTGATCTGACAGTGCTGTGGCCTATTTTTCTCTGTGAGATATCAGTCATGTGATTCTGACTGCAAATATAAGGCCTACTGGGTGCTCATCCAACTCAGTGCTTGGAACTCTAGGAGGTCCCAAGGCCTTCCCCAAAGGGCTTAGGAACCATCTCTCTAGAGAGAGGAGACATACATACTAGAAAGGACAACTGGTTCTCCGGGGTACTTACGTCATTGTCCCTTGAGAGGTCACTGTGGACAGAATGGTCAAGGAAGACTTCATGGACACTGCGGGACCTGAGCCAGCTATTAGAGTAAGGCAAGAGTGTACAAGTACAGCGAGGACAAGCAGAGAAGCAGAGCAAAGGAGTAGGTGAAGGGAGAGAGCAGGACAGAGTAAGAGAACATACATATATTTTGCACTGACCTTGCCACAGCTCTCATCACCCCCCTCTGGACCAGTCACTACCTGAGCAAGAGGCGTTCCCTATTCCAAAGGCAGGAGTAAGGAGGGAATACCTCAGCTCAGGGATGTGCCAGGGCTATGGCTGTCGTTCAGGAGGCAGCCTTTTCTATGAGCACTTGGAGGGCTCATAGAAAAGGCAAAATAAGTGGCTCAGAGGCCTGGGGGAAGGGCCTCCAGGTGGTGGCTTGTGAATATAGAGAATAGATCGACTTTCACTCCATCATGTTTCACTCTAGCATGTTAAGATCTTCTGATTATCCAATCAAAGAATCAACTGGAAGCAAATCTAAGACCCAAGAAGGGTTCATTCCTCACCTTCATTCTTTTCTGATAGTAAGATATCTGAATGGTGTCAATTTGCGTTTGGTCTAGATTTGACCAAGTTTAATGGGCCTGTTGCCAGTAGTTACCACAGGAACCAAAGAGTTAAGCAGATTGTAGAATTATTAAAAGCTTCTGCTACTGCTTAAGCTTTAACTACAGTAACCAGCAAAAATTATCTTGGGGCTTTAAACCACAGTTCACACTCTTTTCCAATCAGGTGAGCCGTGTTGCACATCAGGTTATGATACACTTATAAACAGACAATTTTTATGACTTGCTTTGGAGGAGGTAAAAGAAAAGTCCCGTCACTTGAAATGGATTAAAACAGTATTTCAAACTTTTTTATGATTGTTTTTGCTTAAAAACACAAAATCATCATCTTAACATCCTCTAAAAGAAAAAGAATAGAGATTGGCTTAAATGTTAGTGATCCCTCTGAAAGTCACGGTTAATAGGGAACAGGTAAATATATTGAAATATTGGTGTTCCCATGAGATTCAATTTGCCTTGTTTAATATTAATCTCATGACATTTGACTTGGAAAATGTCTTTTTTCTAAAGCATATGTGTACTGGCTGGGTGGGGGCTGTGGCATGGATTCATTTTCTTGAATCCTTCCTCAGGGATGCCATTGATGACTGTTTTAAACAATCAGAAGTGTTGCTCATTTTAATTTAAAAGAATGTATTCAGTCTCCAAATATACATTACACTTTGTTTAGTAATTGTATTCATACCTGTTAATAGTACTTTACAAATGACATTAATACTCTTTAAAAAATCTTAGGAACTTCTTAAGATGCTCTCATTTCCAAAATCCATGCTTGATTCATTCAGATTATAAAGCCCATTATTGTCTGTTTAAATGCCTATTTTAACATTCTAAGAAATGTTCAACTTTTTAATAATAAACCAATGGGTATAGGAAATACAAAGGGGTCTGGCTGAAAAGCAGAGAATCTTAACTAAAGTGGTAAACTGGGGGTTTAGGAAGTAAGCAACAGTTCTTTATTTTTATAGTATGAATATTCCTGCCATTAAGTCTGGAAGGATAGGCAAGCAACTCAAAGATAGTTTTGTTGGAAAATATTTCTTGCCGAAACCGGTTTGGCTCCAGTGGATAGAGCGTCGAACTGCGGACTTGAAGGTCCCAGGTTCGATTCTGGTCAAGGGCATGTACATTGGCTGCGGGCACATCCCCGGTGTGGGGTGTGCAGGAGGCAGCTGGTCGATGTTTCTCTCTCATTGATGTTTCTAGCTCTCTATTCCTCTTCCTTCCTTTCTGTGGAAAATCAATAAAAAAAATATATATATATGTGTGTGTGTGTATATATATATTTTTTTTATTTTTTTTTTTTAAAGAAAAGCTTTTCTTTCAAGGGTACAGCAAATCTGAATTATACTTCCAAAGTTACTCTCCGCCATCATCAGGCATCTTTGACTCATTCGCCACCTTCTCATTTCCCATGTGTCAGCATCCTAGAAAGGACACATTTTGCACCAGCCATGCCACAGCCCTCATCACTCCCTTCTGGATTAGTCACAACCTGAGCAAGAGGTACTTCCTATTCCAAAGGCAGGAGTAAGGAGAGGATACTCACACTTAGGGATGTGCCAGGGTTATGGCTGTTGCCCAGGAGGCAGCACTTGGAAGGCTCATGAAGGAGCAGGACCAATTACCACCCTAATCAGGGTCGGTCCTGTAACCATCTGGCACAGCAGCAGCAGTGTCTGGAAGCTGAGTTGAAGACCTCCTACCAGATGCCTCCTGATGATCAGCTCCTGGTCTGTGGCATTGATCTCTGAATGAAGAGTGCACTGTGCTGATTCCAGTCAGGATATCTGGGCTCCCAGTTCTCATAAGAATCAGGGTTTCTCCTGCCTACTCCATGTAGCTGGGTGGGGCTGGGATGGGAATAAAGAATCCTTATTCCTTCATTGGTAACACTGCAAGATACTCCTAGAGTTCCAACTATCATACTTTTGGGGTTTGTTTTTTGTTTACCTTAGTTTAGCCTCCATACCTGCTGACCACAAATAATTTTGTGCTCTATATCAAGGGGCAGTCAGTGCAGCCTATTTTTATGCAGACCTGAGACCCCCCAGTCTTTTTTCTCCAGAAGGATGAGGCATCTGGGTTGGGTGTTCTTTTTCCAAAAATGCTTGTTTTGGCCATGCCTAGCCTGTGGCATTTTGGTAGCTGCAGATTGAAGTGAAGCAGTTACTTGCCTTGGCTTTCCTGGAAGACACTGCCTATTGTCTCCAGGATGTGCACTGTAGATGGTGGGTGACCCTGTGGGTGGGTGCCAAGGGGAGACTTCCACTCCCTGCAGGAAGCAGAGGCTCTTGGAAGCTGCAGCCTCTCACACTGACTTGCAATGTTCCTTGTGCCTCAGGTGCTGCTGTTTCTTTAAGAGGAAAAGGAAGAAGACTGCTCAGCGCCATAAGTGACCAGTGCCTCCCAGGAGTCCTCAGGTCCTGGGGACTCTGACTCAATTGCACCTGCAGCTCCTGCCATTTCTCATTGGAAAGGACTCCTCTGCAGGGGATGGTGGAGATCCAAACCAAAAAGAAGAAAAGAGATGCCCCCAGAAGGAGCCAGTGTGGGGAGCCAGGGCCCAGTGGGTCAGTGGCTGTCCCCTCCTGCCTGAGGCTCTGAGCAGGTCCCAGAGCTGCTGCTCCTCCACTGCTTGCCCTTGGGGCCACTTGGTTGACTCTCCTTCCTATTGTTTACAGTGAAGGTGTCATTCACAAAAACTCAAGGACTACTATTCTCTTCCCTCCCTTAGTTTACTCCTGATCCTTGCCCTGCCCTCAATCCTCTCCAGCACTAAAGCTAGTGAGTTGAAGGCTTTGTCTGCCGAAGGAACTCTAGAAGCTGGGCTTCCGGCCAAGAAGGTAGGAGGAAGATGGCAGGCCTGAGCTGGAGAAGAACCTTCTCCACCTTCCAGGGATATCTGGCTCCCTCTTCCTCTGTGCCTGCCCAGCCTTCATCCTCAGCTGGCCGTGGGGTACAGTTTACTCCCTCCCTCTCTCTTGTGAGGTTACACTGGAGGACACAAACTGAGAAATCTGCAGTCTACTGTCCCCATGTGTTGGCGTTCTTAGCTTTCTTGACAAGTGAACTCTATTCTCCAGTCAGTAGTAGAACAATGCAAATTGTTCTGAAAAATGGGAAAAAACTGACTTTATTGCACTTTTAGTTTATTGGGGGTGTTTTTTTTTTTCTGTTTGTTTTTTAACAAAAAACATGGCAGATGCATATTGTGTCTGGTTATATTGGGAGTTTTACTTATTTTCTGTTTTGAGGGGAATGGGGCCAGCCAAGCCATTCAGAGAGAACATGGGTCCAGAGGACATCTCAATGGAAAGAGTTGGGTCAGCAGCACCCAGAAGAGAAGAAGCCAAACTCTGTTATTCTGAGTAAACACTCAGGCTGGCAAAGAAACATACTTGAATTTTCATTCATCTTCTCAGCTACTGAAGAATGTCCTACCAGAGCCTCTTGACCTTATCAGCCTGCAGTTTGGACAACCTAACCTCTACGACACATGGGCTGAGCCAGCCAATCCAGACCATGACCAGGAGATGTTTCATCCCAGAGAAGGAGATAACTTTAAAAACAAACAAACTGTTTTCTCCACTGCCAGGGACTTCCAACTAGATAGCCATGTGACTTCCTTACCACATTTGGGGAACAAAATTAGTGATGAAACAGCTACACCATATTACCACTAGTGGTCAAAAAGAGGAGGAAAATGAACCTGCCTTCCAACTGCCAAAGGAAACTCAGGATTTGGCATCACAGGGCCAGGAAATAAAACTCGTATGTACTGTCTGCCCCAACAGCTGAGTTAGACATGTGGGCTGGCCTGCCTTATCAGAAACCAAGCACCTGCAGATTTTCTCCTGGCAGGTCCATAGCAGCAGGCTTAGGACTTAGTACATGGGGCTGGAGTAGCAGGAAGGTGAGATTAATTGGTGCTGGGGAATTCCAGGGGAAAGGAGACTGAAATGAAAGCTCTGAAATTATCTCCTCAATTAGACATAGGCTCCTTCCAAATAAGATGCCCATGCATCTATAGCTTGTTCTCCCCAGTATGCTCTCCTCCACCCAGCTAGTCCCCATGGTGTAGTCACACGACATGCTGCCATGAAGAGTCTCGGTTCCTCATTCATTGCTTTAAAAAAGTATTAATACATAGTTCATCTTCTCATGCTCAGTTTTATTTGAGTTCAGTGGCCTCTTGTTCCGGATGTCAGAGGAGAAGAGATTGTTTACATCAGGGAACGAGGTCTATTTGGGAGTAGAGATAGCTAAGCATGGAAAGCAATGGCTGATGACTTATTTCGGTGGTTTTGGAAACAGAAGTCATTGCCCCTGACTTGAGGTGTAGGGCTGTCTTTGGATTGGAGGGTGTGGGATACTTTCTGGTAGTTGGCATTTCCTGACAAGTCCCTTGATGAATGGAACAGAAATAGTAGTAGCATGAAACAGAATTACGGGACTTCCTCTGTTCCATCAGGTCTTGCCAGGAAATACCATCCCGCTGGCTTCAAACCTGCTTAGCTTATATAAAGATTGTAATCTTCCATTTCTTTTAAAAGAAATTTCCCTGCATACAAAATAGTGGCTGGGAGACACAGTACCAAACCCCTTCCCCACAAGGATTTCAAATATTGGGATTTGTTTCCTTGACATAATCTAGTGGTTAAGGTGTAATCACTGAAACTTACATAGTTTCTCAGTTGGTATTTGGGCAACTGTAATTTTCTGTATAGAAAAAGCCTTGCCTCTCAAGGGAGAGCAAGGGGAAAGGGTGGCAGAGCCTGGAGCCTCTTGGCACTCCATACCCTACTAAGTGCCTCCCCACCCCCTGCTTCCACAAAAAAAAGCAAAGGCAGTGACCAGCTTGGCTGTAGGGCAAGCCCCCTTGCAGCTGGGTTTGTGATGTTCTTGATCTTAATTTTTTTTAAAGGCTAGCTCTTAATGGGTTGAATCTGAGCAAGTTTTGGGGAGAAGGGAGACCTTCCTAATGCATTGTTTTCACTCTGCCCTCCATAAATCTCTTGCTAGATATTTGATTTTCATAACAAAAATGAAGGCCCCAGGCCCCTCTGGCATGCAGGCCAATGGTGATCCTCCCAGGACTATTGGTACTGCAAGGTGGTCCCACACCCCTGAGAAATTGTGATTTTCTTAAAAAAATTTTTTTTAGATGAGTACCTTTCTATCCCCAACAACACATCAGGGCTCCCTCCTCCGCTCTGTTGCTATAGTTGCTTAGCTGAATGCCTCAGTCAGGTCCTTGGGGTTGGGCACTCCCTTCACCCACCACCTATCCAAATCCACTTGCTCTATAGTTTTTGAGATTTCTTTGTTTCACAGCCATGATGCCAATTCCTTTGGAATTGATGCGATTGTTTCTGAATTAGCATTTAGTACTAACGTCTGTTCATACAAAATCTATATTATACCATTGCGAGTTCTCTTAAGCCCTGCACACCTTCAAGCATTGTATCCTGAGCAGATTGAGGCTAGCAGGACAAGCATAAAGGGTTCTTCCCTTGTGACCAGAGCATGACTTGTGTCTGCAAAGTCTAAGCAAGTAAGGGTTGAGCATTTATTCTACACACCTTGGCATTTCCCAGTGATCTCACTCCAGACAGCTCTGCAGGGGCGGGCAGTGTACCAGAGCAGTGTGCTTTCAGGACTGCCTTAATTCACACTCTCCTGCTATTTTGGGTCTGTCTAGGAGTAAACAAGATCTAGAGAGGTACAGTCAGGTGACTAGGTTGGGCTCCAAATAAAGCTCCATTTTGCTCTGGAATGCAGGGGCAATAAGAGACAGCAGGATCCTGGGGTTTGCTGTATAAGTGCTGAATGCCTGTTAATCTCAGTGAACTCCAACTACATAGAAACAGCCCCTACATTAGCCAGAAGAGGTGTCCACTGCCTCTAAAGTAACTTCCATCTCAGTGCACTGGAAATGTACACTGGTAGTACATGTGCAGTGTCGATTCTCAGTGTTAGTAATCACTTCCAATGTTAGAAATATGCAGTGATGGTAATGTTATGTCAGAGTGGTTACTACGGATCATAGCCTTAACTTTTTATGCAAAAGATGTAACTCTTTACCCCCTCCCAGTGAGCATGCATTTTTCAAAAATAAGTACTTCCATGGCAGCCTAGAAAGCATCTTCTCAAAAGAACTTGATTGTTCTTCTGATGCAACTCTCCTCCGTCCACATGCCTCGTGTGTCCCAGTCACCTCTTCCATGTTCATCTTTAAACCTGTTTTCCATTCCCAGTGAGTTGCTCTGACGTTATCTCTAGTGTCAGAGCTGCCACCCTAGAGTTTCTCAGACTGGGTAGAAGCTTGCAGCGCCATATAGCCAGCATTGCTTTTGTCAGTTCACTGCCACCATCCCTGCCATTATCCCAAGGTGGGCAAATTCCAGAAACCCTTAGGGGGGCAGGATATCTAGGCCCACCATCCGGATTGGTCATGTAAATAACAGGCACTTGTCTCTGGGGGTTTTGCTTTTGCTGACACCAGGGCTCTAGGCAAGTCCCTTCTAGAGGTTGATGGACAGTGACACTCAGTCTTCCCCATAGTGGACTGGTAGGAATTAAAATGGGATTTCCATGGTTTTGTTTTCTTGTGGGATTTTTATTTTTTGGTGGGGTTGGGGGGGGGATGTATATGAACAAGAGGAAGCCTTGGCCCTTCTGAGGGTTTGCAGAGTTTTGAGCAATTCTTTAGACACAAGTCTTGGAAATCTCATCAATCAAGCAGTCTTAACATGTTTGCCCTAACTCCTTTTGCAGGTGACTAAGTGAAAAAGAGTAGGTTTCTTCATTGTATTCAAAGTAGTAAGTAAATTCCCTGGATGTAGAGAGTAATAGTTGACATATTTCCTCAAAAAGCAACCAGGAAGTCCACTCCAGTATTTGTAGATCAGCTTACAAAGGAAAAAATGAACTCCATGTATTTTTAATGATTACCAAACTTGATGTTATTCAGAAACCTCAGTTTGGTAGACAATTTTATTAGTTTCCTTCTTCTCACAAGCATCTTTCCAGTGCCATCACCATCTTCAAAGTCTCAGCTCAGAGGGCTATCCATGGTGGTAAAGGGGATGCAATGCGGACATCCCAGTAACACATACGAGAAGACAGCTGTCCTGAATGTCCCTTCCTCACACATCCCTCTTTCAGGGCAGCTGAGACCTTTTCAGTGTTCCTCTTCATGAGTTCCAGACCAAATCCCAGGCCAGCCCTTGTGCCGAAAGCTTTTTAAGAGGCTTATCAATTTGTTAGGAATGTCTCAGGAAAGATGAGCCATTTCTTTGGAGAAAAAATATATTTATGATGGTTGTGTGTGATTGTATTTGTATGCTTGTGTCTGTGTGCTCATTTGTGTGCATTTCACTTCCATAAAAACTCAGCCCTGGCTGCTGGGATCATGTGTTGTGAATATCCTTGGAAGTAAGCAAGTAACAAGTGAACTTCTCAAATTAGTGTCATAGCAAGCTGGTTCTGGGAATGAGCCCCATTTATCAAGCAGAAGAATAAAGAGCAGAAAAGATATAGAAACCAAAAATATTATAAGCCCTGCCCAATGGAAAATAATGATTCATCAATGCCCATTTTGAATACGTGCTCTAATTTATTATTATTTTGTTTGTTTCATTCATCTTTGCCCATTGTACTTTTAAAAAGATATTGGGATGTTGATTGCAATTTTTTTGAGACTAGGTAATGTATAAATCAGTTGTGGAAATCAGTTTTAATTGATGTGTGGATGTGTCTGATCATTGTTAAATGCCTTTTTTTCTCTCTCTCTCTCTTACCTATTGTTTTAGATGTGTAATGTTTCATAAACCCTGGCACTGGTCACAAAGCTCAGCTGTGAAAATGAAACTTGTAGTATTTTTAAACATGAATGTCAGTTTCAAGTGTATTTGAAATTATTCCTCCAGGAGAGGTTTGTAACATCATTAGGAAAACCTCCTCTGCAGAGGAAGTAGCCTTCTTTGGAGAAAATGGGAAGATGGGTCTTGATAAGTTATCTGAAAGTAGCCCATTTCCTAGGGCACCATGGAAAACCCAAATGTGATCTTTAGGTATACCTCTTCCCCAATTTGGGGAGGAAAGGACTCAGTTTGCACCCTTTTTGTATGTAAAATAAAATGTCCTACCTTTCTTGGCTAATTTTGTTTGTTTGGTTGATTTTTCTAGTTTTTATCTCCCCTGGCTCACTTGTAACTTAAGAATCTGGCTAGGACTAACTTGGGTAGGATTCAAGCCTCCAGTGAATGAAAATAATGTCTGATATTTGGACAGTCTTCATTTATTTGGGCTATACATTGCCTTCTGGGTCACTATAAAAATGAATATTCCTGCCCTAACTGGTTTGGCCCAGTGGATAGAGCGTCAGCCTGCAGACGGAAGGGTCCCAGGTTCAATATCCAGTCAAGAGCACATGCCTGCCCCAGTAGAAGGCGAGCAGGAGGCAGCTGATAGGTGTGATACATTGATGTTTCTCTTTTCCTCTCTCAAAATCAATGAAAAATCTAGCCCTAACCGGTTTGGCTCAGTGGATAGAGCTTCGGCCTGCAGACTGAAGGGTCCCAGGTTCAATTCCGGTCAAGGGCATGTACCTTGGGTTGTGGACACATCCCCAGTAGTGGGTGTGCAGCTGCTTGATGTTTCTAACACTCTATCCCTCCCCCTTCCTCTCTATAAAAGAGCAATAAAATATTTTAAAAAGTAAAATAAAAATCAATTAAAAATCTAAAACATATAATCCTGGCAGGATTTGGACATTCACCATTAACATTACTATTTCCAATATCCCTGTGGTTCTTAGGTGGTGGAACACCAGGAAGTTAGGATCTGCTTTATGGAACAGCTTCGAATAGTTTTATAATTCTGCTCCACTAATGAGGAACAACACCTATACAGACAAAAGATATAACTGGGATATGCAAATATAAACTTAAAAGGGCATATATTGGTCACAGAAACAACTGCCAATCTGGTGTGATTGGTTGCATTTTTTCTGTGTGGTTTTTTTTCTTTGTTTCTTTTCACTATTCAATTAGTAGTAAGGATTTGGTTTTTTTCACTGGCAGGCAAGTAAAAACAGGAAAAACATTTAAGATCTTTATGAGAGAAAAACTTCACATTGAGATCATTTTATCCACCAATCGTATTTTTTTTTCCTTTCAAAATTGGTGAAAAAGGTGGGGGAAGAAGGCTGTTTTTAAGCCATTTTAGCATTTGTGCCTCCCGTTGAGAAGGCTACTTTGAAAATATAGTTTGGTGAACATTTTTCTTCGTGGCTTCCGTAGCAGTATAAGATCTATGAGTGGGAAAAAGGTTTCACAGACCCTCAGAATTAAGGGGGAGTTGTTTGGAAGATCATTTTTTTTATATATATATTTTATTGATTTTTTACAGAGGGGAAGAGAGAGGGAGAGTCAGAAACATTGATGAGAATCATCGATCAGCTGCCTCTTGCACACCCCTCACCACAACCAAGGCACATGCTCTTAACTGGGATCGAACCCGGGACCTTTGAGTCCGCAGGCCAACGCTCCATCCACTGAGCCAAACCGGTTCGGCTGGAAGATGATCTTTGTCAGTGCAATGATTTCCACCTGATTGAGGTAGCCTGGATTAAGGTGTGAAGATTCAAAAATAGCAAATGTTATTTGTGTTTATGTGAGATTTGTCTGTTGCAGCTCTGCAGCCAGTGTAAGGAAGGACAAGTTAAACTTATGCCAGTGGCCATGCATAACCTGAAACTTAGGTCAGCACCTCATAGAGACCCAACTGCAGAGTTAGGGAGAGAAACAGACATGCCTACCTACAATCTGGGCTGTGAAGACCAAAAGTTTTTATAATTAATTTTTGAAAAATAGTTTTAAAGATGTAAATAACATCATAGGTGCACGTTTTGGAAAGATGTATTTTGGTGTGTGTAAGACTCAGGTACTGAAGTATATATGTTGTAGACTCACACCAAGTGTTTGTGAATACCTGAAATAGGGATGGGAAGGCATCTAACAACCATCCCTAATCTTTCTGAAGATCTAGAAAAGGGAGACCAAAACTCAAGCCTTGGCATGTATTATTTTTCCATCTGGGTGCTAATGTCACACTAACTCAAAGAGCACAGCCCTGCAGCAGGTTTGGAGGAGCTACAGTATACACAAAATAAATGCAACACAATCGTTATTCACACACACAAAAAAATGTAGTTACTTGGAAAAATAGGTAAAGGAAGTTAGTTGAGCCCTAGCTGGTTTGGCTCAGTGGAGAGAGAGTGGGTTCCATTCCAGTCAAACGCACATGCTGGGTTGCAGGCTCCATCCCCAGTGGGGGGCATGCAGAAGGCAGCCAATTAATGATTCTCATCATTGATATTCCTATCTCTCCTTCTCCCTTCCTCTCTGAAATCAATAAAAAATATATTTTTTTAAATACTTAAAAAAAATTGAAAACCACCCTAGGTCTGGGTATCCCTCTCACAGTGTTGTGTCTCTTTAAAAATAAATTTTAAATCTTGAAAAGCCCTAGTTGGCGCAGTAGTTAGAGCATCGGCCTGCAGTCTGAAGGATCCCAGGTTCAATTCCGGTCAAGGGCACATACCTCGGATGTAGGTTCAATCCCCTGCCCCGCTGGTGGGTAACCAATCGATGTGTGTCTCACTTCGATGTTTCTGTCTTTCCTGCAATACCTTCCTCTCTTCCTAAAAATCAATGGAAAAAATATCCTCCGATGCGGATTAACATAAAAAGAAGAAAAAGAAAAAAACCACAGTGGTTTTGCGCATTGACTCATTCAGCAATAAGCATAGATTAGGGAGGGAAGAGAAGATACAGGACAAAGTCAAAAGTGGGTTTTGAAGCAAGTTTTGCAAGGAGCTGTGTAAGTCATACTATGGTAAGGTGACCAGACGTCCCGATTTTTAACAATTTGTCCCCGCGTCCCGCGGCGTTTTAAACGCCGAAGGACGAATTATTAAAAATCGGGACGTCTGGTCACCATATATGGGTACGCATAAACGTGGAAACTGCCACACCCTAACCCACTTATGTGGTTGGCCCAATACGGACAATTGTGGGCGCCCCCGGCCCCGGTCCGCTCACTTTCTAGCCAAGTATCCGCGCCGAAGACCTCCATTTCCGCCAAATCAGAGAGGCCTGGCCACGTAACATGCCGCTCTGCATGCTGGGTCTTGTAGTTTCTTCAGAAACCCAATCCCCGCGCTCTTTGAGGGGCGACGCCTTCTGCGGCTCCTTTTCCTGTAGGTGGGCATAGAGGGCTGGGGAGCCAATGAGGCCGCAGTAACGTGGCAGCCACCCACGAGTCCGCGCCTTCGCCCGCCCCGCCGGGAGCCTGGCCCCGCCCCCAGGGGGAGCTACTATCAGGCGCAGACCCGGAGGGGGGAAATGAAGCCCTTCTCCTCCTAGGAGGCCTGCAGCAGCCCCGGCCTCCCCCGCGGCCGCGCCCGGTGGAGGCGCCGGGGCCCACGCTGCCCGGCCCTCACCTGCTTCCGGCCCTCGGCTGCCCGAGCCGTGCTCCCTTCTCCCTGTGGATGCTACGCTTCTCGGAGCGGAAGATGAAGTTCCTCTTTGTCGCCGCCCTGATCGTGGGTTCCGTCGTCTTCCTCCTGTTGCCTGGACCATCCACGGCCGATGAGAAGAAGAAGGGGCCCAAAGTCACCGTCAAGGTCCGGCTTCCCTTCCCAAGCCCTGCCCGGCGGGGCCCGCCCTCCGCCCTGGGATCGGCCTGGGCTCAGGCTCAGCTCCTCCCTAGTCCCCGGGCTGTGGCCTGGTGACGCCTGGATGGCCGTCCTCCGTTCAGACCAGACAAAGAACCGACCCTCCCCGAAACCTCTGGCCTGAGCCCGGAGTTGGCCTCGGGGATGCCCAGCTGGGGCCGCGCCCGCAGCCTCAGGTCCCTTTGCAAATAGCCCGCAGCGCTGGCGAAGTGGGGAGAGAGCACGTCTGCCAGATGGTGAATCCTTTCTCTGTTTAGGTCAGATTTTAACCAGTTACAAAGCACAGCAATATAGTTTAAACTTGTGCTGTTATTGTTTTGTTTTTTTTAAATTGATGTTGTTTTTGTTTTCTGGTGTTACTTTCTAGAGCCTGGGAAGATTGTTACCTTGTAGTCTAAGGAAAGTGTAAACAGGTTTCCTGGGAGATGGGCCTGGAATTTTCATTAGATTCTCATGGGGTTCTTGTCACCACCGAAAACAGATTCCAAAACACTGCTTTAAAGCAAGGCTTTGTCTTCTCTGCCACCCTCAGGGTAACTTCTTGGGCCCTCCTTTCCCAAACAAGGCCCCTTTAAACTGGCTACATTAAAAATGCTCTTTTTCCTCAGGTGTACTTCGACCTGCGGATTGGAGATGAAGACATCGGCCGGGTGGTCATAGGTCTCTTTGGAAAGACTGTTCCAAAAACGGTGGATAATTTTGTGGCCTTAGCGACGGGAGAGGTAAGTGGCTGGAGCAGAGGGAGTCAAATTCAAACTAACTGATGTTGGCAAGTAACGCTGGCAGCAAACAGCGCAGAGCATGGCTCTCTGTACCAGCTGACTGTTGCCGTGTTGGCACGGGGAGCCCAGTATTATCATGTCTTGAATTTTTTAAAGTGAGTCCAGAAATCTGGATTTACCTTTTTAAAATTGACTTTATTTTTAATTATATTCTTATTGATTTCAGAGAGGAGGGGAGAAGGAGAGAGGAACATCAATGATGAGAGAGAATCATTGATCGCCTGCCTCCTGTTGCCCCCTACTGGGCATCAAGTCCACAACCTGGGGCACATGCCTTTACTAGGAATCAAACCATGATCTCCTGGTTCACAGGTTGATGCTAGGAGCCACACCTCCTTGGCATGGATTTTTCTTTTTGAGAAAATTTTTCAGGCATTGCAATAACCACAGAAAGCATGTCTGCAGAAACTAAGGTTGTGGCCACAGCACCAGAGCTTTCTCTTAAGAGTAGGGGCCCAGAGTTTCCCAGGTTTTAAGAAAACAAAGAGTGCCCGATTTAAGAAAGTTTATATCCCAGCTTTTCATTGGGTCGGCAGGTAACCTTTTTGGGGGTCAGTTTTTTTTTTTGCATCCGTTCTTATAGTTAGAAAACAATGAGAGGGAAAAGGCAGAGGCATTGTGTGAAGGGAATTATATGAAGCCTGGGAAAGGTGTGAGGCAGGAGAATGCGGGCTAGCCCTCCCGGCTCTGTGTGCTCTGAGCCTGGCTGTGGTCACTGCGGGCTCCGCTGGACAATGACTGGCCAGCAGGGATATCTCTTCTGTGAGCAGCAGTCGTGTGGGCTGGGTTCCTGCAGGGTCTGTTTCATGTCTGCCTGGTGCCTCATGCCACCTCCTCACCTTCTCATCCCTTTTCCTAGAAAGGATTTGGCTTCAAAGACAGCAAATTCCATCGTGTGATCAAGGACTTCATGATCCAGGGTGGAGACTTCACTCGGGGAGATGGCACCGGAGGTAACCGGGTCCTGGGGGCGAGGGCTCTGTCTGTGCATCCTCCACACCAGGTCCCTCCTTCCCCGGCTCCAGCACGGAGGCCAGCTGGGCAGGGAACCCAGTACAAAGAAGAGGGAGTAACGGGGGTCAGGTGGACATAATTAGGTAGACTTGCTGGTCTAGGCCCACAGCCTTGGTGACTTCTCACAGTACCTCATGGCAGGAGGGGAGCAAAGTCCAACACGAGTAGGTGATTCTAGGTCAGACATGCAAAGTCTCTGTGGGCAACCAGCGAGAGGGTGGGCAGAGTTGCTTTCCTTGGCAGTCTCCTGCCAGAGATCCTTTGCCAAGAGCTGACTGAGTCTCTCTGCATTACTGTAAACAGGACAGACACCCCGGACTAAGAGCCGTGTTCCCTCAGGCTGCATCTGCAGCTCACCCCATCAACGAGTGTCTATTGGGCCAGGCTCTGTGGGTGCCGAGGACACAAAAATCAGTGTGGCAGCAATTCCCTTTCACTTCCAGTGCCTGAAAACTCACGAATTGGCCCTAATCTGGCCTTTAGGACTCGGGCTTTGTCCTCGAGTTATCACCTCAGTGGAAAGAAGTAGGAGAAAGCCTGGGCAGGCAAGCCATGCAGACAATACAAGATGTAATGGTAGCTAGCAGCAGGTAGCAGTGGGGGAGATGGCCAAGCAGACACAATCCAAAGTGATGTGTTGTTGGAATCAGTGCAGTTGGGTGTGACCCGGTATCTGCCACCACCTTGCTTTTCAGCCTTGCAAGTGAGTTGTTGAGCTTTCGTTTTCTCTTGTGTAAAAGTAAGGGTGGTAAGAGTTATGGGGGGCTAGGAGGGAGTCCCCCTTTGGTTTGAGTTGCAATATCTTAACTCTTACCACCCTTACTTTACACAAGAGAAAACGAAAGCTCAACAACTCACTTGGAAGGCTGAAAAGCAAGTGAGGGGGGCTGGGAGGGTTGGGTGAGATCTTGAGTGTAAGTTCCCAATATGTGGTAAGTACAGTCAGCCATTGCCAGAGTGCTGACAGGTGCCAGGCCTGCAGGGAGGGGGTCACTTGAGGCCAAGGTTATCAGGAAATGGCCTTGTGGATATGAGGAAAGATTTGAGCAGAGAAGAGGCACGATTAAGTTGTGGGCCCAGCTGTGTTCGGCACTTTGCCAGAGGTGGGGTCAGGAATGAAGTAGAGAACCTGCTTTGTCCTTCGCTCAAACCCTGAGGGGGGGGGGGGCGGTCTCGGAGGAGTTTGAGGAAAGTAACATGGCAGCAGGACAGGCTGGTCAGGGGCTGGCATAGCTATGCCTGTAGGGCGATGTGGCAGGAACCCAGGCAGGATGGCCTTATGGGCAAGGGCAGGATTCCAGGCCAGACCCCCTTTGGTTTGAGCTGCAGCTCTGCTGCTTCCTAGCTTGGGCACCTTCACCCTCTCTGTACCTCAATGAAATACGGTATCGGATCCTGCCTTAAAGGAGTGGGTCTTTTTGTGTGTAAAATGCTTGCAACAGTTCTCTGGCGTGGTTACTCACCACCATTAGCAGTAGCCATTTTTGCCACGGGAGCAGCAGGAGTGGTAAGAAAGAATGAACAAATGATGGGGGAGGGGAGGAAGGACTACAGTAAGCCGAGGAAAAGTTGGCAAATAAGTTAACTGATGTCCAGAGGGAGAGATGACTAAGTTGAGGTTAGCACACAGAACTGTCCCTTTAAGTTTGGAACTCCTCGTATCTTGGAAAGGATTGGAGCAGGGGGTGTGGGTTGCCTGGACAGCAGCAGCGATTGAAATCCTGACTTACAGGAGTCTCACATGCGGAGGCTCTCAGCTGGCAGCCCAGCCCGCAGTCATGGCACAGCAGCGGGAGAGACCTGTCATCCGGGTGTGGGCCTGAGCAGTGGGGCACAGGCCTGGACATGCCCACCCCCACCCACCAGGCTGGATTCCTGGTTTTCAGTCTTTTCCAACTTGTTACCCAAGCATGTCAAACGTGCAATCCGCCTGCCGAGTTTGGCATGCTGTGTTACACAGAAGGATCTCCCTAGTTAGCATCAGTCGAGGAAATTTCCCCACCTGGCTCCATTCTGAGGAACCACCGGGTGAAAATAGTTGTATTAAAGAGGAAAAAAAAAAAAAAAAAGACTCTGAAAAGTGTTGAGTAAAACGTGAAAATTACTTTATTGCTGGGTTTCTTGGGGGTCTCTGGCTCACAGAGTGAGTCCCTAGGAGATGGGGAAAGAGGTAGTATTTCTCCTGTAGCTTAGGATTGCTGAAACTGTCTGCTTCGGCTCCCTTTCCATGTCCCCTGACCCTTATGGAGGGACACACCACACATTCATTGCCACCTTTTATCTTCCATTCATTTGTGGGAAAGAGGCTCTAGATCAAGCATGTCAAACTGGCGTGTGGCCCACAGGGAATATTTCTGTGGCCCAGCCAGAAGAACGGTGTGAGCAGTCATTCGGAATTAGGAAACTTCAGTCTCCTGTTGGATACAGAATCACCAACACTCACCGTGGGTCAGTGTTGAAAGTCCTCACTGTGAACAAGATTTCCCCCGAAGGAGGAGAGAGCAGCAGAGGAGAGAGGCCAAGTGTCAGGAGGAAAACATGGTATCATTGCTCTTTCTTTACTTTTACAAGACCAGTGCTCTAACCCCTGAGCTATAGGGCCTCTTTCTTTACTTTCATGTCATACTTTTTGAAATAAACCTACGTTCCTATGAAAAATGAAACTTGTTTCTTTGTGGCTCACATAAACTTAAACCTTATTTGGCCCGTGTTAGCCTTTGAGTTTGACATGCTTGCTCTAGACTTCGCAGAATCCAAATGGCAGCTGCTTCCGTGTCTTTTGTGCTCTCGGGAAGAAGCTCGTCAGCCACGACTTTCCTCCTCTCCTGGAGGGTTCTTGCCTCTCCTGCGCCTGCATCCTGCAGTCTGCCTCCGCCAGGGCCTCCCATGCAGCCTCGGCTGGGTGTTAATATGGGCCTTATGTAAAAGCCGTAAACGGCATTCTCAAGACTAATCATTCATGTGGGCTGTTCCCTAACTCAGCCTGGCCTCGGGCCCCACCTGGTCTGTCAATATGGTTTAGCTCCGAAGGCCGGAGGGTAGGCAGAAGACAGCTCTTAACACCCCTGTACTCTGCTTGAGCCTGGCCTCACACAGGACAGCTTGAGGCCCCAAAGATCTGCCGAGTTTGTGCCAACTCGGGTCCCCTGACCTACACTGTCTTTCTTCCCAGGTAAGAGCATCTACGGTGAACGCTTCCCCGATGAGAACTTCAAGCTGAAACACTATGGGCCCGGCTGGGTGAGCATGGCCAACGCCGGCAAAGACACCAATGGCTCCCAGTTCTTCATCACAACAGTCAAGACAGCCTGGCTGGATGGCAAGCATGTAGTGTTCGGCAAAGTTCTAGAGGGCATGGTGAGTTATGGAGATGGGGGCTAACCATGGGCAACTCACCAGGGATAGGACACGGGCCAGGGCAACCTGTATTTTATCCCTTCGGACCAGTGTTCCTGTCTGTAAGCCTGGGGGACGTAAGACTAGCTGCCTCTCTGCTCCCAAGTCCTGGACCTTTCTAAGCCCCAGGCACAGGCCCACCAGGCCTCGTGGCGGTTACAACCTCATTTCATCACCCGGCACCACCTAGAGGTGTCCAGGGCCCTTAGTACCCACTCCCCCAGCCCCTCTCCGCCCAGCCTGGGTCTTACTTCAGAGGATCAGATTGCCTGCTTCCTCTTGTCAGAACCGGGTTCTCCCTGACCGAGATGCTAGGATATCGGTGCCTTGAGGTTTGTACACTGTTGGCAAGTTTCAGTCCTCCCTGGCCATGCGCTGGGGTCTGTCTCCCTTGAGTGGCCAATCTCCTGACCTGCCCTGCCTTGTTGCTTCCGCCCTTTCTCCAGGAAGTGGTGCGGAAGGTGGAGAGCACCAAGACCGATGGTCGGGACAAGCCCCTGAAGGACGTGATCATTGCAGACTGTGGCAAGATCGAGGTGGAGAAGCCCTTTGCCATCGCCAAGGAGTAGGGCCCCCGGGACAGTTCCCTCTTGAGCGACGTGTTTGGGCCTGCTGCCCTCTCGGGGGGCGAAGACAGCCCTCCACAGGGCTCTGCTGCACCAGCTCTAGTGCCCATGTCTGGCAGAGCGGACCTGCCCTCACATTCCATAGGCCCAGTTTTGTAACAAACTTCTACCAGTGCTGACCAATTAAAAAAAAAAGGTGGGTTTTTTATAACCAGTGTGCGGGCCGGGTTCTTGGGCCCACAACTTCTCTGTTCAAGTCCATGGCCCAGCCTGTCTGGGACTCCTGAGGCAGTGGCTGCTTGACCCTCCTTGGGCTCCAAGCCTGAGCCCTTTCCCCAGATGCTACCCACAAACTGTCGAGCTTTTGCTTCTCAACTTTGCCAGCTACTACGTCTCAACCTTTGCTTGCTCCCTCCCTCCCCCCAAAGGTGAAGAAATACACCTGTACCTTTTCATAGCCTACTTCCTAAATGAACTCTCAGAGTGCAGGTCTAGCACCCCAGACATGGTGCAGTTGGGTTCTGGGCCTGGGGTGGGCAGGGGCTGGGTCCACAGGGTGCAGTGACAGAGGCACGTGACTCCTGGCAGGTGGGTTGGTCAGGGCATTGGCGGCGAAGGCGCAGGGCGGCAGGGACCCTCGGGCTGGGAGTCGGCGGTGCCGGTGCTGAAGCTGTAGAAGCCCTGGAGCACGCCGTTCACCACCACGTTGGGCAGAGGCTCTGGGACAAGGAAATCGGGGAAGAGGAACAGGAGGTGTGGCACGGCCATGGCCTCGGGCCTGCAGCTCCCTGAGCCCCTGACGAGGCAGCAGGGAACAGCTGGTCACCTGAGACTCGACCGACCTGGGCGTTCCCTGTTCACATTCTGTTCACATTAGCCAGGCTGGTGGGGAATGCAGACCAGGGAGCCACGTCTGCTGCGCCAAGTCTGCTTCTGGGCACATCCCATGCCCACCTGGATATAGGCCCCCAAGCCCTGACTGCTTCTGGAGGGAAAGGCACGGCAGGCCGGAGGCACAGCAGCAGCAGGGCAGGCATGGTCCGGGAGAAGGGCAGTAGGAGGGAGCTGCTGCCCAGCAGTCCCTGGACCTGAGAAATGGCAAGCTCACCCCACTCCCACCCTGATTCCTGGGCCCTAAATCCAGAGGCACCTCTCACCTGGGGATGAGAGACAAATGTAGGGGTCCACGCGGAAGCTGATGACAGGCCGGTGGTACAGCTGCGAGCTAGGAGGAGAAAGGGTCTTGAGCAGGGAGAGTGAGGTAGGGCAGAGTCTTCTATTGGGTAAAGACCGGGAATTGAGATCACTAACGATCACAAGGAAATCAGTGAGTGGGCAGTGGCGGCGGGAGCGCCCACAGAAAGACCTCAATCAGTAGGATGGGCCAGGCAAGCCAGGGGCCGCAGACCAGCCTTCCCGCCTATGGCCACCAGGGGGCAGCGGGTGCGGGAAGAGTCTCACTTGCCTGCTGTCACTAGGCAGGAGCTCCCCCAGGGCTCTGAAAAGAAGAAAGAGTGTGAACTGCCTGGGGACGCGCAGGGGAGCATGAGGAAGGGGTGGAGCAACGGACGACCAGAGCATCACCTCCCTGGGGGCCACGGCTTCTATTTGTAACAAGCTCAGTTCCGGTGGGTAACCAAGGCTCTCTGGAAAACGCCCCGCCAGGGTCAAGAAAGCTGACAGATGAAGGGGGTCATGTCTCAAGGCCTGGCAGATGCGAGCCCCTAAAGCCTTCACTGCTTGCTGCAGAGAGCCCCTTCCCCCCCACACCGGGGCCTCTCCTGCCAAGCCATGGCCCCTGGAGGTGCTCACTCACTCCCAGCTGCCGGCCTTGGGGTCTGCGGGGAAGTGCCGGAGACTCAGGAACTCCAGCAGCTCCTTGGGCACATCCCGGTTCAGGTACAAGATGCCCTGGAGAGCAGCACACGGGACACCCGTCAGACACAGCCCAGTGCGAACTGAACACGGGAGTCCTGTCAAAGCGATTACAAAGTTCAAGCCCGACCGCCAGGGTTTAAGCCAAGCTCAGGGCCCTCTGCACAACGGGCCTGGGTGACTCCACAGGGATGTGCCCCTCATCTGTCATCCGTGTGCGGGGAGAGGGAAAGGTCCCAGCCCCACCTCCTCCTCATGAGGGCAATGCAGGGGCTCACCCAGGAGGGGAGAGGAACTAGCAGCAGGTGACCCCATTCAATGAAAATTCGAACCCAACTGAATTCAATTAATCTTCATTCTGAAACTTACTCAGAAAATGGAGGCTTGGGGTAGAAAAAATCATGCCCCAGACGTGCGTCCCCCCGCATCCCAGGCCCTCACACGTCTCTGGGCCACACACCTCCCGTCCAGCGGGCTGGGGGCGACAGGGAGACCCAGGCCCACCTGGATGTAGGCCTCCAAGCCCTGCCGCCGCTGCTCCAGGCCTCTGCTCCTCCAGTTGGGCAGGCGTTTCGAGGGGAATTCGGGCACCTTGTACAGCTTCTTGATCTGCGGTGCGATCACAGTGTCCCCGCGGCGCCCTTAAGCTCCCTTCGCCCCAGCAAAAGCCCTCCCGGCTCCCCACCCCATCCATATCCCCCAAACCTCAGGCTCCACCCTCGGACGGAGGCGGGTGAATGTGGTTGGGACAGGAGGCGAGAGAGAGGGCGCAGGGGCATGGGCAGTCCCGGCTGAGACCTGTCCCTCCGGGTCCCTCCGCAGCCCGCGGGGAGGTCTGCGCCCAGGACCCGAGCCCCCGGGGGATGGAGGGGGTGGAGCGGTAACGGGAGGCAGAGGCGGCCGCAGCCTCCCAGGGGCCGGGCAGGAGCGGGCAGGGGCGGGCAGGGGTCCGTCGGTCGGCGCGGCCGCCTCACCCGCTTGTGCAGCGCGTGGAACTCGCTGTAGCGCCGCGGCACCGTGTGTCTGCGCCCGCGGAACCGCACCTCCACCCGGAACACCTGCGGCGGGAGCGAGCCGGGTGCGTGAGGCCCCCGCCCGGCACCCCCCCTCCCCGCGCTCACAGGCGGCCCGGAGAGCCGCCGCCCCCGGGGACCCGCGCGCGGCCCCCACCCTCTGCTCCTCGTGGGTCCGGACCGCCGTCCTCGGGGCCGGCACACCCCAGCGCCCCGTGGCCGACGGCAGGCGGCCCCCCGACGGTGCGGACGCCGCTCCAGGACCTCCCAGCCCGGGGCGCGGGGTCCCCATGGCGCTCGGCACCGGCGGGTCCCTGCGCTCCCCGCAGCCCATGGCGCCCACTCACCATGTGGCTCTTTTCCGGGCTCTGCCGGGGCGCCCCGGCCTCCGGGCCCGCGGACGGGATGTGAACCTGCAGCATCGGCGCCCCGGCCTCGGCCCCTGCCCGTGCGCCCGCAGCCCGAGTTCTCCCGGCGCAGCCCGGCCCCGCCCCGCCCGCCCCGCCCCGCCCCGCCCCGCCCGGGCGGCCCCGCGCTCCGAGGTCCTGCGGGGGCTGATTAGCTTCCCGGCCGCGGCGGGAGCGGAGGACCGCCCCGGGGCCATGTGGGGGTGGCCGTGAGGATGCGGACAGTGTGGCCAAGACAAGAGGCCTCCGTTTGTCCACATTCACTGAGCGCCCACTGACGGTCAGGAATGCGGTGAGCCGGGATTTCACCTGCTCTCCGTGGAACACCTTCCTGAGGACCAGAACCTGTGGGCACTGGGCATGGAGGGGGCCGGCCAGGGACCTTCCTTGTGTTCCTCACACCTACCCCAGGCTGCCCCCATCCCCTTTCCCCCCTTCAACTGGGCCCCTGTGAGAGCGGCCGCGCCTGGGTAAGGCTTGGGCCCTACCTGGATTGTTTTGTTTTGTTTTGTTTTGTTTTGTTTTTAATTGGTTGATTGATTTTTTAGAGAGAAAGAGACATTGATTCGTTGTCGCACTTATTGATGTATTCATGGGTTACTTCTGTATGTGCCCTGACCAGAGCTCTGACCTGCCGCCTCTGGAGGATGCACTGATGGACAAAGCCCCGCCTGGTTTTAATGTGCCCCTCCCCCAGCTTCCACAAGCCCCTTCATTCATTCGTGTTTTTGTGTTTGTTTGTTTTTATGTCTTAAATCCATTCCTTTTGCTTCAGGCCCAGTTTGCCAGGAAGAGGCAGTTTAAGGTCTTAGACTCTGCTTTGGGGGTGGACTTGGATTTCCCAAAACATGTAGACCTGTGCTCTTCTGCGAAATTAGGATAATATGCCTCTCCCAGGAGAGGGTACGGATAATGAGCGATATGATCCCTGTGAAGCCATCAGCAGAGTGGGGGTTGAAAAGATGGCAGCCGGTGGGCTTGTCCTGGAGGCAGGTGGGGGGGTTGGTGCACAGGGCAATCGGCAATCAGTGGGGAAGAGGGACTGTGGGAAGACTCTGGGCAGGGTCTTGCTGGGCATGTGGCAGGATTTAGTCCATAACTCTCTCACTCCTATGATAGAAGGATCTCTGCTCCTACCCCTCTGTCCCCCACCCCTCAGCCCAGAGGCCACTCCGTTGACTTTCCCTACAAAGGCCTGAGTGAGTGGTGGAGGCAGGGATGGCCCCACGGGAAAGGGTCTGCGGTGGGAAGGAGGAAGCAGAGTGTCTGAGTGAGGTTGGGGAGCCACTGGCTCGCTCCATCCCCCCTGGTACAGAGGTGCTTCAGAGCTGGAGCAGAAACTCTCCATCCCCACGTCTGCCCCCACAGAGGCTGACATGATGGCCCCAAGATGGGAAAAGCAAGCCTCCCCAATACTGGGTCCCCCACTTTCCTCCCCGGGTTCACTGTCACAGGGGCCCAGAATCAGGAGGCTGAAACTCCCTGGGAGGGAAACAGCCCTCTAGGAGGAGAAGTGCTGGGGTTTCATTTCCTCCCTTACACTCCGGGGCCCCCACACTCAGGTGTTACGGGCGAGACTAGGAGACCTTAGTTCTTGTTTTCTCGAAGGAAAAGTTTCAATCAATAGACAACATGTAGAAAAGCAAACAAGAATGTATGGATCAGCCGAAACCGGTTTGGCTCAGTGGTAGAGCGTAGGTCTGTGGACTGAAGGGTCCCAGGTTCGATTCCGGTCAAGGGCATGTACCTTGGTTGCGGGCACATCCCCAGTAGGGGGTGTGCAAGAGGCAGCTGGTCGATGTTTCTCTCTCATGGACGTTTCTAGCTCTCTATCTCTCTCCCTTCCTCTCTGTAAAAAATCAATAAAATAAAAAAAAAAAAGAAAGAAATGTATGGATCACAGCAAAAATACACGTAGGACAGTAAAACCAGGACGGTCATAGAGGAAGCAGCAGGAAAGCCCAGGCTGGGCTGCTGTGGCCCGCTGGGAAGTCAGAGGAAAGGGGCCTTGGAGACAGGGTGAGGGGATTAGCTCAGGGCAGCTGCCAGCTGCCTCCTGTTTCCTTGGTTACAAGTCTCCGGGGTCCCTTAGAGGTTAGGGGTTACCTGTCTGTGGGGGAAGGGGCAGGAGTGTGCTCCCTGCAGGGACCCTTCCTTTGCAGGGGTTTTACAGGCTGGGCATTGAGGGGAGGTCTTAGGGAGGATCAATAGAATATTCATCAGCTGTATGCTGTTGCACCAAAATGAGATTTCATCTTTTTTTAATATGTTTTATTGATTTTTCTACAGAGAGGAATAGAAAGTTAGAATTATCGATGAGAGAGAAACATCGATCAGCTGCCTCCTGCACACCTCCTACTGGGAAGGTGCCCACAACCAAAGTATGTGCCCTTGACCAGAATCGAACCTGGGACCTTTCAGTCTGCAGGTCCTGAGCCAAACCAGTTTCAAAGAGATTTAATCTTTTAATTTGTCCTTGGGTGTGGTTGGCACATGGCACTAACTGGATTTCTGTTATCTGTCTCTCTGAATAGGGTGATTTAAGATATTTACCCTCTGGTTGGGGAGAAGTGCAAGCCATTTACCCTTAAGTGTCCTTGGTTAGGGAAGATGGGACTTACTAGGTGACTGCACACTTTCACTGTCTTAGTTCCCCTATTCCCTGTTCCGCTTGCCCTGAAATTGTCTTAGCTTCTTGCTGTTCTGTAACACAGGGACCCTGTTCTGCTTGTCCTACTATCTGGGACCCCCAGACCTCGTGGTCACCCATCCTAATGAGCTTGCCTCTCTATTTCTAACGCCTAGAAAACTGCTAGTCTCTGAATGCTCTCCATTTTCCCATGCCTCCCTCCATGCTTAGTCCATTCTCCACCTGGCAGCACACACTATCATTCAGGCATCTGCTTAAAACCTTCCAGAGGCTTCCCACTACTCAGACAAAACCCCCTCTCCCCACCACTGGCCAATGACCCCGCTCAGCCTCTGGCTCTCCCGCCACCTCTCCACGCTCAGCGACACCTCCAGCTCTTTAACCCGAAGGAGCCCTTTCCTGCGCCTGCTGATCCATCTCCCTGGAACACTGACCCTGACTGGTCACCTGATGGGTTTTTGTTTGTTTGGTTGTTTGTGTAAATCAACGTGTAGTTTTTAAAAAATGTATTTTATTGATTTTTTACAGAGAAGAAGAGAGAGGGACAGAGAGTTAGAAACATCAATAAGAGAGAAACATCGATCAGCTGCCTCTTGCACACCTCCTACTGGGGATGTGCCCGCAACCAAGGTACATGCCCTTGCCCGGAACCAAACCTGGGACCTTTCAGTCCACAGACTGACGCTCTATCCATTGAGCAACACCGGTTTCAGCTCACCTGATGGGTTTAGCTTAAAACTTCCAATATTGAGCCTAAAACTTACCTCTCAAAGAGGCCTTCCTTCCTGGTCACCTTATCATAGATCCTGTCTATGTACATACTTACTCTGAACACCATCAGGCCAGGGACCTGGCTGGTCTTGTCAGTGTTTGCTGCCATGGTGCTAAACATGTAGTAGACACTCAAAAAGTAACTGTTGACTGAAAGACTGTATGAATGACTAGCGGAGAGGGGTGTTGGGGAAATGAGGGAGAGGACCGAAGGCCTGAGAGGGAGGCAGTAAGGGAGAGGGGTGCCAGGGGGTTCTTAGAGGAAGGCCAGCTGGGGGATAACAATGGGAATGTTCTTCACGCCTTTAGAATTAGATCTCTCTCTCTCCTTCCCTCCCTCCCTCCCTCCCTCTCCCTTCCTTCCTCTCTCTCTCTCTCTCTCTCTCTCTCTCTCTCTCTCTCTCCAGATGGCTGTCCACCTTGGTATTTGCTTAACTTCCCAGTGTTCCTGAGAAGCCTCAAATCCCTGGATTTTTATCACTAGTTACAATTAAAATCGATGTTATTTTTCCCCATCACCATTTATACGCAGAGAGACTTGATACGACTCATTTGAAAATTCCACAGCATTCCATGGTGCTGAAGTGAAGATGCATGGAGGAAACCAGGCCCATTTAAGACGTCTTTGGGGAGACAGAGCAAATTATGGAAAATAGTTTCCTGAAAGGAGATGACGGAAATCCCAAAGCAGTTATTACATTCAAAGAAGTTTATTTTCTGTGCACTCGAGGCACTGGCCAGCTCTGTGAGCCAGACTCTGTATGAGGGTGTGAGCCCTTCAAAGAGACTCCCATCTTTAGAAAGAGTTGTCTTCCTGGACAAATCCGTGTCTTTGCTCTGTCACTCTCTAAACACATGAATTTTAAAAAATATATATATTATTGATTTTTCACAGAGAGGAAGAGAGAGGGACAGAGAGCCAGAAACATCGATGAGAGAGAAACATCGATCAGCTGCCCCCTGCATACCCCTCACAGGGGATGTGCCCGCAACCAAGGTACATGCCCTTGACCGGAATCAAACCTGGGACCCTTCAGTCCACAGGCCAACGCTCTATCCACTGAGCCAAACTGGTTTCAGCTAAACACATGAATTGAATGTCCAAGTTTCTGGGGGAAAGTTGGTTAAAAATACTGGTTGGTCACATTTTCTTGGCCGGGGTGTTTTCAGATCAGATTACAGAGCAGTGGCTCTCCAACTTCACAAGCAGCAGCAGCAGCAGCAGCAGCAGCAGCAGCCACGGGTTTGGCGGAGCTCAGAGGGCCCTGACCCGCTTTCTGAGTGCCCGGGCCTGGCAGGGAGCCTCACAAGTTCCTGGCGATGCTGACAGGGGACCACATTGTAGACACTGGTCTCTGAACTCCCACAGCAGCCCTGTCAGTGCGCTGGGCCCCGCGTACTCCACTATGCAGACGTTCAGCCCGGAGATGAGGATCCAGGCCCGAGCTCAGAGCAGGAAGGCCTGGGGCTGGCGGTGTCCCCGCTGACAGGCCCCCATGGGGGGAGCTGCTGGCTGGGTGCGTCACAGGTGGGCTGGATCCCGGTTCCTGGCCCCAGCATGAGCCCTCCCCTGTGGCCATCACACAAAGCCCCT